TCTGATTTCTGCTGATCTCAAAGTGCAGCATGAAGCACAGGGTTTGTTGACGCATTTTCTGACCTTTTACCTTCCAATTTCACCTGATAAAATAAGACTTTCAAAAACATTTTCCAACAGCTGTAAACGAACTAAAGTTTGGGATTCTTGGACGTTTTGCAACTGCTTGGAATTGATTCAGTGCTTTTCATAAAGCATTTGCAGCCTAAATGGTTTGGTTTTAAACCGACAGTACGACGCTGAGCAGGAAGTGTGGCCTTATTTACTGAAGTCAGATAAAATCTCTCAGCAGTAAACAGATGCCCAGATCAAACAGGACTGAGCTACATTCAGGAAGATGATCTAAAACAGACATTTTCAGGGATCCTGCAGGTTTCAACTCAAATTTAACATTTCTTAAGACTATTGTGATAAAAATGTAAGCTCTATGTCCCTTGTTTTTAATTGCATGTGTGTGTGTGACTGTCGGGAGGAAACGCAGACTGACGTGACACCTGTTACTCTGAGCTTCGCTGCAGACGGGTTTCAAACATGGCTGCAAACTGGGCCAATTCATGCCTGTAGTTATTGTGGGATTTGTAGTTATTGTGGGATTTGTAGTTTAAAAACCAAATATTACAGGTCGCAAACTTAGCCAGAAAGGAGACAGCTAGACCCAATAAGTACATTTTCATTGATCTTATAATTGCACAATTTTAAATACTGAAAATACATTTGCTTGATGGAAACACCAAATCTGTAAAAACTCCTGTTGTAAAAACTCTTGTTTTTGTATTAAAAGTTGTGGTACTAAAGTGAGACAGTTTTTTTTTTTTTTTTGCAAAACTGCAGTATAAAAACTTTTTTCACATCACATGATCAACAAGCGGATGTTACTACTGGCAAAAACCCCGAAGAAGAATACAACAGGAAGTAGTCGGAGCAACACAGTGTGGAATGATTTTGTCTTATCGCCTGAACAATTTACATTTACATTAGATCAGAAATAACGCAATTACGAAAATTTGTTTTTTTTTTCAACACAGCTTTGCTTTTCTCTATTTTTTCCAAATACTTCAACAAATTTCTGTAAAAATGAAGAAGTTAGCTTCCAACATTCACACTGCATTTTTACAGAAAATGCTTTTTTTCTAGTTTTATTTTATATTACTTTACAACAGAGAAGATGAAACATAAAAAGTGCAGAACTTGTCTGTATAGAAGCCTCTGAAACTTTTGTTACTGAATCAGAACTTGTTTTTTTATATATTTTGTTAAAAGATAAGGAAGTTTACTTTGGTTTTAGTGCAAATCAGTATTTCTAACAGAGACACATTTAAATTTGTTTCTTCAAATGTCGAGTAAAATCTGCTGAAAACTTGTGGGAGTACTGACAAACATTTGTGAGCGTTTGTAATGGAAATCCAGCTTTTTTCTGGCATCATTTCTTCATTTCATCATTCTTTCTACATCCAATGCTTTTCTGGAATTAACAAAATTTAAAAACTAAGACTAATGGAAGTATGGCCATTTTTATAATTTCTTCAAGCTTTAAATGTTAATTTTATTTCTTTCAAATTCTAGACTTTGTAAGAATGTTGTTGTTTTTTCTAAACAGAGTCAATCAGTCCAGAAAAAACCCAAACAGAAATCAAGCCTGAACTAATTTATCACAGACGTTCCTGGATCTGATGTTCCAGCCTGTGCTTCACGCGAAGCGACGAGCAGCTCTGACCTGAGGGATAAAGTGATGAAGCAGCTGATTCCACACTGTCTGCTTTCAGGTGGATTAACAGCCAGCAGGCCTGAGCAGGCGGGAAATCCACCCACCCACCAACCAACCCTCTCTGACCTGGAGGTCAAAGATTCACCACTGAGAAAGAATCACATTCGTCAAGATTCAAATCCAGAAGGAAATATCTGAATTCAGCAGCATTTTTGTGTCTTTTGGGAAACTGAAAACAAGGATCTACTCAAAATCTAGTTAAAAATAAGTGTATTTATATCACTGAGTGGGAGGCAGAGCAATAAATAAAACCATATTATGCAACATTTTGCTGCTATAAATGCAATCACTGGATTTAACTGACTGGAAGTGACTCAAAGTAACACATGTATCTAACAACACAAATAAAAAGGAGCAAACAATGATTTATTTTTTTCATTGTGGTCAAGTTTGAGTTAGTTGTAAATTTTCTCTTCAAATCTAAACATATACTGGCATAATAATGCAAGAACACATTCTCAAAGACCAATAAACTTTAAATAATAACGAAAATTTAACTCTGGAACTGGAAGCTATTTTAAATACCCAAACTAAACAAACAAAACAACAGAAACAACAAATAAAATGCATTATAAAATTTCTGTAAACAAAATGATCCTTCAAAATAAGAGCTAGTTGAGACCAAAACACCAGACTGAAGACTTTTATCATTCAGTTTTTGGTAGAATGAGAAGAAAAATACAATAAATCAATCAAGTGGAAATTGAGTTTGTTTTATTTTCTTATGCTAAAACTGCATCTTGTTATAAAAACACTGAACTTTAAACACAGCAGTGGAAAAGAAAAGCAGAAAATGGAGAAAAGTTTCTGCTTATTGTGCAGAGTATGAACACTTCCAGTTTCTTTTGATCTTATAAAGTAAAACTAATTCTAATTATGCTATTCAATGATTTCTATAGCAGTCGTTAATTAACTAGCCTGCAGTCTGTTGCTTTACACAGATCCTCCTTTAGTCTCTAATCTGGCATGAATTGGTTGCTCTATTTTACTTTCTGTTCTAAATATAACACCAATTCATCTCATTTACTGTTAACTCTGGTTTGTGAGTTAGCAACTTCTGCACTTGTAGCCTAGCAAACTACCCGGTAGACATTATCGCTGGTATTGACAACAGGTTTTAGCTAACTATTGACTAATGACTCAGGAATGCTGACTGACCAGTTTCACAACATTTTTATTTCCTGGCTTTAAAGGAATGTTCTGCTGCAAACAAAATAACTTCATACCTGAGCTGAAATTATAAGGCACTGGCCAAACACTGCAAAGAGCAGAGAGCAAAACAAAATGAATTCGATTTTTTTTCAAAGTCAGTGTAGAAAACAATAAATGTACATATTTAAATTTTTACTTAAAGATTGAGCATCTCTTAATTAAAATATGATTCCAGACCTGAAGTAACTTTATTTATTGGACGTATATTTGCAGGTTATCCCTTATGTTTGCAGATTTTAGTTTCTTAATTAAATCAAAACTAATAAATTTATCTAAAATCAACACAAGCAGGTAAATAACTTGTGATTTGACAGCATAGTGATTTGAACAAATACCCCCCCAAAAAAAGCATAAAAAGAAGACAAAAGAAGCTGTGTAATAAAGATTTTAATGAAAACCAGACCAAACGACTGGCAGATAAACACGGCAACCTGAAGACTCAACAGCGTCTAAACGACCTGCAGATGTTTCTACTGGAACATTCACCGAGTTTCCAAACACGGATTCCAAGAAACTAAAAACGTCATGAGAAACTAGATTTAAAGTCAACAAATGGAGAGTATTTTCCATTCACTGGACTTGGCAGTCAGAGCAGGAGGCCTGCAGGAGGAGATCCCAGCTGTCGGTTCGCTGCTGCCGTTACGTAACGCGGCGCCGCATCGTGACTGACAACAACACGTCAAGCTGCTCCGCATGGAATCTAATCAGAAGAGGCCAAAACATCGGAGGAGACCCTGCTGCTCCACAGGCGCCGTTCAAATCTGTCTGAAGTTTATTGCAATAAATCAATTAATCAAATGATAAATTAAAATGAACTCAGTGATTTCCATTTGCATGATTTACTCTACCAAAATCTGGATGCTAAAAGTCCTCAGTCTGGTAGTTTGATTTGTTTACAGCGATTCTATAATTGACTCTATTCGTTGTGTCTGTTTTGATTATTTATTTTGGATATTAAAGTGTCTTCCAGTTTCAGAGTTAAATACTCATGAGAATTTAAAGTTTATTGATCTTTGAGAATGTTTATTACTGGAAAATGGTCTCAAAATGACATTTATTGATATATGATACATCAGCACTAGCATTGGTATAGGCTGATATTAGCCATTTTTTAACATATTGGTGAATAAGAGCCGGTCGATATTAACAACCAACATTTATTTTCGTCTTGTTGCCATTTGTTTCTGGATATCAAAAAAATAAAGAGATACTTGACTGGTAAATAACAAGTATCGGCCACAGTAGCAGTATTAAAATCAGATATTGATATCGGCCCTAATTTTTATATAAGTGCATAACTAATAGTATTATTATTTATTGCAATAACTTCTGGGATAATTTAGAATCCATTCAAATCTGTTCTAGTTCTCAGGCCTCACCAGAAGCTGCACTGTTTAAAAAGCTCAGATCAGACTCAATCTGCAGGCAAACAAACATAAACTGAAGCTGAATTTATGTTTCTCTAAAGCCCAGACATAAAACAGAAACTTTTTAATCTGCAGAACAGCAGAAAATATTTCCTCTGGCTCCAAAAAAGGTTCATTTTATCTTCCTACTTCTAAACTTTTGAAACTGTTGCCTTCTGTTTTTTTTCTCGAAAACTTCTGATACTAATTTTAACATCTGAGTTTTCTTTGGCAAACTTTTGACTTTATAAACTCGAAAGTTTCCTTGTTTTTTTAGAACATTTTTTCATTTTCTCCAGCAAAATGTCCATGATTTTTTCTTGAAAGTTTCTGAGCTTAATGTGAAAATGTATTAATTTATTATTGGCATTTTTTGTTACTTTTTCAAACTCTGAAATTTCAAAAAAAATTTTCAGAAAAATTTAATTTTTTTTAAATAGCAATTGTTTTGACTTTTCAAACTTAGAAATGTCCTTGTTTTTCTAGAAAGTTTTTTTTTGGCAGAAATGTACTCGTCTTTTCCGTCTACAGTTGCCCTAACACGCCGCCGTAGTGGAACTCCTGTTAGTTTGAGTTGGATGGAGAGAAATAACCTCTCCATCTTGTCTGTTTCGTACCTTGGTGGCGCATGGTGATGGTGTCGTTGGGGTTGGTGGAGCCCACGTTGAAGATGACTACCGCCGAGGCGTTGTGGGCGGCAGCATGGCGGATTTTGTCCTTGGTCGTGCAGTTCCCATGGGCTATCAGCGCTATCCAACCGGCCGCGGCCTGCGAGGGCACCACGAAGCGGGTGTGGGGGTCACAGGCCTGCCGGTCCAGCGGGGCGGCGGGCAGCACCACCACCCCCTTGGCGTCCCGTTTCGGGGAGTGCTCCCCGTAGCGGCCGCACTCCGTCTTCTCGGTGCGCACCTCGGAGGTGGCCGGGTCCATGTAGGTGATGTTGACGAAGGCGGTGTACCACTCCTCCCGCTCGGCCACGGTGAAGTCCAGACACAGCAGGTGGACGAAGCAGAAGGAGAGCAGCCACGTAGAGAGGGCCAGACTGCGGCAGGCCGCCACCAGCGAGCCCGGCGCCATGGCGGTCCTCCCCGGGGAGAGAGCTCGGAGGACACCGAGAACTTAAGCGCCGACGACCACTACTACTCCACCATGTCGCCCACCGGCCTACCGAGAGTTTATTTCACCGTTTATGGACGCAAACTCCGGGTTTGTTTCGCCGTTCAGCCACTTCCCTCTGCTGCTGTCAGCCAGCCGTTAGCGGGCTCCATTTCGGCTAAACAAAAACGGTTAAATCCCCAACAATGGCGGCTCGGAGTGAAATGAACCCCGGGCCCGATCCGGCTGACGTCCGCCGGGGTGATGCAGCCAGCGGGCGGACACGGAGCACCGTGACCGTGGAGAAATTAGATTGTTGCTCTTTAAAGCTGACGCTACTCGCAGCTGCAACACTGCATTGTTTTGACTGGGCCACTGTGAAGCTACAGAAAGCGGGGCGACGAACTTCCTTAAGTTACTTTTAAAAACAAAAGCCTCTTTGTACTTCAACCGCAAACTCAAATTTTTCGAGACTTGAACATCTATGCTGAAATAATGCTTTATTAAAAATAAATATATTTAAAATTACATTGTTTTTTTCAATGTTTTCATGTATTGTTAAGAGAAAACACGGAAATCTGTATTTTACTTTGACAGCCTATAAACTCTTTCACTTTATGTAGCTTAAATTAAGATAATGCTGCCACCTAGCAGTAATAAGGAAAATTACAAATCATTATATTTTGTACAAATAATCATTATTTTTACATCATAAACTAAAAATTACCATTGATATAAAACTGGAAAATATCTGGGATATTTACATGCCTGTTTATTGTGCTCATCTTGATTAGCATACACTTTTATCAAAGAAATTCAAATACATTCATAAGTATATGTGATCCATGAACAACAACAACAATAATAATAATGTTAGCATTATCATTGTTATTATTATTATTATTATTATTATTATTATTATTAAATGTATTAAATGCCTTACATTTAATAATAAACATTTAATATTAAATGTAAGGCATTTAATAGGGTATTGAATAGGTCAGTCAAGTCTTTAAAAAAAATCCCTTTATTGTTGTAAAAAAACAAAAACATCTTTTTATGTAGTTATTGTATGCAACTTATTATGACGGAGTGGAGTACAACCGAAATGAGCCAGAAGGAAACAGTAAAAAAATAAATAAATAAAAACTGAATAAATTAAATTAATTACACAATAAAAAAATATGTTTGGAGTAAATACAATTTAAATATTTGATGAAAGTAGTATGATTGAAAAACAAAATCACTCTGGTTTTTCTGTGTTAATTTCCTATTTCTGAACCAATCCAGGAGATGGCGCTAATGCTCCTTAAAGTTACTTGCAAACAGGCCAAAAAACAGAAGAAGACACAAAAGGAAGATTTAAAGAAGACCGGAGACGTACTCGACACCCAGAGAGAGCGATTCATTGAGGGTAAGTGATGTTTTAGTTTAATTTTAACAGTTTAATCAAGGGAAATGTGACATTGTGATAACACTTGGAACCTAAAGTAAAAAAATGTTGCTGTTTGGAAAACGTCCCGTCGTAGCACAGAGAGCCGAGAACAGCTAACCAGAGACTACAGCTAGCTGTTCAACATGGCGGCGCGAATGTTGGCACATTAGCGCCGCCATGTTGGCACAGTTTGACTAGAGAGGTTTTATAACTACGCATAACTTACATAGGCGACATACAAATATACATACATCTCGTTTAGTGTGATTACTTGCTGACAAAGGCGTTTAAACTGATTTTCACACCACAAAACACTTTCTTGTTGAAATGCTGGATGTTTTTTTACCACTAAATTCTCAAGATACTTGATTTCCTTGCTTTATAAGTGCTATGTTAGCAGAGAGGGTTACTGGAGCACAAATTATTAAATTTTTAACTAGAATATTAAACTCTAGTCATAACCCTTATGTAATACACAGGATTAATATTACCTAAGGATCACGTTATTTGTAATAATAGCAAAGACTGTCAGTTTTTAATCCTGTGTGAATTTATAACCAAAAATTTATAATTTGTAATTTATAAACAAAAATTTTCTGTTAAAATATGTAGTATATCTTTGCTGAACTCCGACGAATTAAACTAATCCAGTGTAAATAGGTATCTCTTTAATTTGAACAGAAATGGATCGGATCTGAAACATAATTGCGCATATTTTGCTTCCCTGGGAGCATTTTTATTTACTTTTGCTGAAGAATGGAGACTGCTTTGAAAACCTTTTCAGTCCGGATCAGCAAAATCCTGTCGATCCGTAATGTACATCGTCAAATAAAAAGGCTGAAGACAAGGAGCAAAATCAGATGCAAGTGGTGCCTCACATCATGCATTTCGCTGTGAGGTAAGAATAATTTTCTTCTGTTTGTAGCCTTCGATTATACAGCTAGGTGCACTTGGTTATCCTGTGTGAATGCGAAACATAAAAAGTAAACGTTGGGAAGTAATTTATGTATTACCATGTAATGCTTATCCTGTGCGAAAAAAACTTTAGTCAACTTTAATTGTCTTTGGAAGCCGTTTTTAGATCACAGATGTGATTCCCCATTTGCTAGCACGTTACCGCATGATACAGTCAAGCTACACTGATAAAGCTTACATCTGAAATGATAATGTTTTCACTTAATAGCTAACAGGCGGGTAATGACGGTGTGGAAAAGTTTTCTCTTTGAGAGAGCAATAAAATTTGACCAGTGATACAGACTGTAAAAGTTTTGATATTTAAATGAGCTTGAAAATGTGTACTTTAGATTAATACTAAGGTAGGTCTTTCTTTATCAAAGAAGCATCCTGTGTATGTGCACTGCTTAGAAAGAATCCAACAGCCTTTTTTTCAACTAATTTCCATTTTGTCAGTGTTTTAACTTCCATTACACAACAGCATTTTGTCTTTATTCTCAGTATTTTAATGTTATTCATAAAAACAAAACTAAAAGCCATGAAATAGATCCACCATCTTTTCCCTTTCATAAAAACTTTAATCCTACATCAATTCCTTTTTAACATTAGCTGACATATTCGATGGCTGAAGGACAATTTTGTTTTGGAAGCTGATGTACATAAGTTCACTGATGACCTTACAAAAGAAAAACAATAGTTGCTTTCAAAATAAAAGCTACGTAACTGTATTTTATGCACCTATCACAAAGTAATATAATTTAAACTTAGGCCCTAAGTTTATAGGGCCATAGGACCATAGGCCCTATGGTCGTAAAATCCTCAGTTTTTCTTTGAGACCCTCCCCTTGAAGCCAACTCAATACTGTTAGAATAATAATGTTTTCTTATTCTTACATAAGTAGTTACCAGTTTGTTCTTCCTATAAAGGTTAGTTTAGTTCTCCAGTGAGAAAAGGAATTTGCTAAAGTGTGTAAGTTTTCTTTAACCTCCAACATGTTTTTGCAGCTGGTCTTCGGACAATTTCTGAGCTACTTCTCAGTCGTAAAACTGGGTTGCATCCTGTGCTTCCCCCATTCGTTATCAGAAGAGCCTCCCTTTTTTTCCTTCAGTAAAAGATCAGTTCTGAAGACAAAGGGCAGAACACATGGGAGAGCTGCTGGAAGAAGTAGCTCTTCTGTGTCTTCTCCTTCTGCAGAAGAATTGATTAAAATTAACATTGTCTGTGGTTCTCATTTTATGAAAGTTGAGAATATACCTATCAGATACCCTCTTCATCCTCTGCAGATGTTACTTGACTGGAAGAAAACAAACATCCAACTACAACAGAATACATATACTGATGATCACCAAAAGCTTGCTGATTTGCCCTTTGGAACTGGCATGGCATCTGGTTATACCCACTCTATAAACTATGAAAAATACCTTTCATAGTGTTACAACTAATCCACAAAGTCCCATCCTTTTTAGCCTTGGCAGTGGGACGAGCTTAAGGGATGCTGCTTTCTGTAATGACTTGTTGCACACATGGATACTGTCTGTAAACAGGATCATTTACTTGTAAATGAAAAATAATAATGGGTGCCTGAGCTTCAGTGTAGTCAGAAGTGGTGCTGCAGGTTGAAAGGTCGCTTTGATAAATTTTAAGTATTTAGTTGCAGGGATGGGTTTACAAGCTGCTGTATTATTATTGTGTAAAGCACTTTGAACTGTCCTATTGCCGAAATGTGCTATTGAAATAAACTTGAATTGACACCACTGATCTGACTCACTCTCATACTAGAAACCCTAATATTGTACTTAGTTTATAATAATCCAGAACTAGAACATGATGTGCCTCCCTTTTTGTTGTGACCTCTGAGATGTTGGGGTTACAATAGCCGAACAGGTGAAATTCTGACTGCCTTCCAGCAGGTGCAGCAGTGATCTCTGAACTGCATCTGCAGATAAAGTGTGAGTCAGAGGAATGCACAGGTCAAAGACTGAGGGTGTGGTTAAAGTGATGTTGACTTGTCTCCAGAAGTTGTTATTCTTTGACTTAGTGTGAATTCAGCTCACTCAAGTAGAACTGAGGTGAATCTAGGGCAGACCTGGGCATTTTACGCCCGCGGGCCACATCCGGCACTTTGTGCGTCCCTGTCCGGCCCGCGTGAGGCAAATCATAAATTACAAAATAAATTTAAAAACGTGTCTATGTCGAGTGTGCAATGCAACGGTGCTACTTTTGTTTTGAAAAGCGTTATTTGCATTACTTCCGTGAAGGTATGCGCATGCATGATTGTGAGTGAAGGTCAACAGCAGCAATCATAAATTACAAAATAAATTTTAATAAACATCTAAACATCTCCTCCCTCAAAGAGTAGAATTTTCCACACCTGAGGAGGCATGCTCAGAGGATTCTGGTCCTCTTTGGATCCACCTATGTATGTGACCCGACACTTTCAGTGATGAGAGGTAAAATGAGGTGGAAAACATAAGTTGTTGTTTGTTGTATTGCAGTATTTCTTTTAACTTAAGTTGTTTGTTGTTTTTTCTTGTTTGTGGAACAAAGTGTGAACAAGTTAAAAATAAATTGCAGTGATTCAATGATTGCTTTTGTTTTCTTATTTCAAAGTCACATAGCCTAATATAAATCTTTAAGGATTAAGAGTTTAAATAAAACCATCAAAAGCAATCTGGTTTTGTATAAAGTTACGTTAAATGAAATTATTTATTATTATTTATCTTACCATCTATAGGGAATTGGCACTATACAGTACATGTGAATTGAATTGAAATTAATTGGAACGCTTCTGCTGCGACACCATCTTGGATATGTTCTCAACTAAAATAAGAGCCGTGTCCAAAATGTATCATTAGGCAGGCAGACTGAGTTCCTATGAATTTAACTACTGAGAAACAGTTCTTGCAGATAAGTTAAGAACTTTTAACTAAAGGATTTTTTGGATATAAGTGAATAATTTTATGAGTTTAACTGGAGATGTAAATCATATATAGTTAACATTCATTTTTGTTTATTGCCAAATTGTCAACCACCGTAGACTATGCTCCTTAAGTTAAACTTTAATATTTTTTTAA